CATTTTTGCTTTATCCTTCTTCTGGACTCCAATTTATTGCAATAGAACAGTTTAGGTTCAAATGAATATTCTTTAATTTCACATCCGCAGCATCAACATTCACTTTAGAGTGACGCATAGTAACCTCCATCTTGGGTAAAAACTGCTGTTTAAAATTTCAACCCTGATATTCTGGCTTCTGTAAACATTTGCTTGTTTAAATAATTGGGTAGTTAGCCTAAGTGACTCCATTTTGACCTCTGTTTCCAGAATAATACCTGGAAACTCACCTCAATCACCCCATTTTGTTGCCAGCCCATTGTGTTTTCACAAAGGCTATTCTTCTGTACCAGAGTGAGAACCAGAACTGCAAAAACGCTTTCCCTTGATTTAGTGGCTCCAGGAACTAAAGCTATAGCTAACCTTTAGAGATACCTAACTTTGCTCAATTTGGCTTCTGTACTAACTGCTTTCACAAGGTAGTTCCACATTCCAACATCCAGTAGGATTTGTTTTTTGCCTTTATAAGCTTCTGCTGTACTCACTCGGGACTGCGAGATTTGGAGAACTAATGCCCCCTTGTAGCCGCTGGCTTTTAAATTAAAGACTCCTTGATTCGATTTCGTGACTGAAGCGTCCTCTGTTCGACTCGCGGGGTTCGTTACAACAAGAGTTCGTCAGCAATTTTCATGCCTGATTGGTGAGTGAAAGGTGAATTTCCCAATTGTCCTTTCCATTCCCCAGGAAAAAAATAAAGGCACGAGAGTAAATAAAGTTTCCTGGCCTCTATGATCCCACCCAATGCAAGCGTAGAATGAGATGAGCAAAGTGAGTGGGCGAGTTAAATCATTTGTAACAAAAGCCCATTACTTACAGATGAGAAATTTATATTGTCAGCGTAATATCTGTGGGGCTAAACAGCGCTAGAGAGTATATAAAAGCAGTGTGCTTTGCTGCAGAAGTACAGAGCTCGGACACAGCTCATCTCCAGTTCCAAAGAGGGCTCGCTCTCTCTCCACCTGCTCTGTTCCACACCTGGTATCATAAGGTAAGATTTCTATTGAGTGATTGTAAGACTGTCTATTCTGATTTGGGTACAGTTAAGTATTTTTAAGGGAATAAAGTATTATGAATTCGAATGTTGTTCTTTCATCTTATACTTTTCACTAATAACACACAGGATAGAATTGAGATGAAAAAGTGATACAAAATGTATTTACATAAACGTCAACACAGTGAAGCCGCAAAATGAGTCGGAAAAATAATTCAACAAAAAGATATGAAGTTGAAAGAAAAACAAAGATTCAAATCAAGGCACTTGTTATAAGACTTAACTGTTATGAGAACTGTGTTTTTAAAATATATAAATATTTTCCTTAGATTTGATTAACGTGTCTATTACTTTGAACAGAAGGCGCCTTTTACATTCAACAGAAATGTGTCCATTAGAGAGGCTATAATAGCAATTGCTCCTTACCAATGAAAATTTATCATTTTCTAAAAGAGAAGAATCAACATCATCTTTCAAATATTCAAATTTCTGATAAGTCTATCAAAAACTCTAAGTCCATGAAATCAGTTGTTTGTAAATAAGACAGCAGTGAACTAATCAATTATTGGGAATTCTTTTAATGGAGCTGAGTGAAACTTCCGATTAATAATTATCTCCTATGTATTCAGAACCAATAGCAATAAATAAAATGTCTAAAATGCCCACAATCTGAAATAAGATTTTAGTAATTCTCTATAGAAACAAAATCAGATGTTCTAAAATACCTATTTAAGCCCTTGGGGACAAAGAATGATTTTGCAAAGATCCTCAATGGAGTAAATGATCAAGCGGTGTGTTTTCCCACACATACCAAGGACCTATGAAAGGAAATGAGCTGATCAGTTTTAAAAAGTATGTATTTGGCCTACAAAACGAATACATTTAGAGATATTATACAATTCCACCTTGCTTATGTCTAAGATTAATTTTCTAAAAGACTTTCTACACGGAGAATGCTATTGTTCCCATATTTTCCCTTTAAATTTGAGTGGAAATGTGTGGTTTTTACAAAACTACACATTCTCTCCTTAGGCTATCTGAAGGATGTGGAGGGGAGTAACTGGAAATTCTTCTATTATTGAATAAGATTTTGAATCTAAAATAATATAAACATTTGCTTTCTCAGTAGTGGCATTCAAACAATTAAACTTATTCTCAAAGTTTTTCACAATTCTATAAACTTACAAATGAATGAATAAAATTTTAAAAATCAGTTTCTCTTTCAGTAGAACTCAATTCACTGCCTATAGAGAGGTCTTGGAACATTCACTCTGTTTCCCCCTCCATCGGCTCCCATAGCAGCAGAACAGCATGTGCTTTAAATCTCCCTCCATATAGAATATAGTGAAGATTTTGAAAACCTTTAGGGACTTTGCATAGAAGGAATTACTTGGGACTGATTTGTTTTTGCCACAGGGGTGTGATTCTAAAAGAAACCTTAGCTTTTTTTTTTTTTTTTAATTCCGGAAGGCATGAATTTATAATTGAGATGTATAATCAGAAGACACTACCTACATATATGGCAAAGTTTCCAAAGTTTGCCGACAGAAAAGATTGATAGTTTGAAATGATAATATTTGTAAAATCCTTATTTCAAACCAAATGCCATTTGCTAAAAATACTCACTCAAATTATTTATGGATAAACATAATCAAACTGGGATTGAAATCCCCACATCTCACAGAAACATGGTGGGACTTGAGAAGTAGAGAAAAGTCCATGACAAATGCTGGACTTGAGGTTTCTATTCAGAAAATAGAGGAGCTTGCCCTGTGGGGATCTTCTGCCCCAAATTCATTTTAGTTCTCACCTTGCACACTGCATCATCATGCCTTTGGCATCCGGTGGCTTCATGGGGCATCTGCGTGTGGTACAAGGACAAGCAACCAGGTGTATCCCACAACTAGGCCTAGGGTGTCACAAGCAGTGAGTGACACGTCCTGGACTAAGTCCAATTATAAAACAACCTGGGGACTTCTGAGACTTCAGAAACAGGCGTTAATTTTCATTATGACAGTGATCTCTTGAGTTTCTTACTTGTGATTGTTCAAGTTGCCAGAAGCATTAGTTCTTGTTGCAAATTGCTTGTCTTTAAAACAATTTTTTCCCTTTAATTTAGAACAGGTCAAAGCACCCTAAAATACCTCAAATCTGTTGGCCGCTTTATAATTACAAAGTCTAGACCAAGTTACACTATTTAAAATATAAATGAATAATACATCTGAACCGACAGCTGGTATGCCAAGTTGTAGCCCAAGGCTGCTTTAAGATGGTTGAAATGCAGTATAATGTAAATGCTTGGAAGTGAAGGACTATTAATTGAAAGCCAGACTGATAGTGAAGGGGGTGGCATTATGGATAAGGTGACATTCAGGCTAACCATATGTAGTATATCATCTACAGTGGGTATCTTAAATGTTTATCATAGACATTTTTAATTCCAAATCTGGAAATGAGCCTTCTAATTATTAACAGAAGTGTCTTACATTAATGAAAAACCTTAAAGGTGGTACACATTTTTTAAATCCTTTTTTTTTTTTGCCACCAAAAAAAAAAAAATCTG